AAACCATAGCACACCAGGTCCCCCTATCCTACACTGTCTTTGAGTCTGCCCACTATGTCAATGATAAGTTCATACAGTATTTAAAATTGTCCTTAGAACCTTGAATAATATAGAAACACATATTGACCTCTAATCTGCCTCTTTTTATCCCAATTCTTGATCATGCAGTGCTCAGTAAGAGGAGAGATTTGTTCACTTCTCTGAAGAATGGGAAGATAGATTGCTTTACTAGTTAGTGTCCCAATCATAGGTAATAAATCGGTTACCGCAGAATGTTTTGTAGATGGAATGGAAATAAGTCCCCATTTAATTTCAGATAAGGCAAGTTATTCAGAAATTGTATCAGTAAATTTCATTGAAATATTTGAGAAATGGTGCATCTCTGAAACTTTTAGAAGTATAACTTCATTGATTTTTTAAAATAATATTTGATAAATACTGGTACTTTAGAAAAAAATTAAAAAGTTGGGAGTTAAGAGTTGGAACTTAGTGAATCTCAATGGAACTCTTTGACATAACAATTTATTTAATAAATTATTTAATAATTTAATCCATTTCAGAAAATAATTTAAAAAAACACAAAAAATTTGAAGGGTAGAATGGCAGTCCATAACAAGCCCTGTTTGTAGCTTTTCTTTATCATTTTATGTGATGATGTCATTGTGTCAACTGTCTATCATTTACATTATGTTGTCATCACACAAATTATTTAAATTGCTGTGATGACACATGCTTTATTATACAGACCCTGAGGAACAGTGGACTTTCCCCAAGTCTATTAAATCATGGCTTTACTATATAAGTAATAAATAATTGGAGGCATCACTGCTTCAGACAGGAAGGCGGTGCATAGAGTGGTAAGAATGGCCGAAAAGATCAATGGCTATTCCCTCCCTCCCATCCAGGACATAGCACAGAAGCGTTGCTTGAGCAGGGTCCGTAAGATTATCTGGGACACTACACAACCTGTTTTCCTTGTTACCTTCTGGAAGGAGGCTTCGTGGTATCCAAAGCAGAACATCCAGATTCAGCCAGAATTTCATTCCATAAGGCATTAACCTTGCGAACTCTCAAGCTTTCTCCTTCTGTTATATATTCAAGATGGACAATATTTAATATTTATTTGCTACATATATGTAGGGATGTGGGTCTATACATATGTTGTTCATAGTATGTTTAGGTGTGTGTCATGTATGTGTTTCACTTTGAGAGTGGACAACTAAATTTCATTTTTGATGTGTGCCATTGTGCCCACAATATAAATATGACAATAAAGGTTATCTATCTATCTAAATAATTCTGTATTCGCACAGTATAATTATCTTCTTTTTCTTTTCTTTTTTCCTGGCTTAGTTTTATGCTGGTATAGGATTAGTTTATATCTGGCTGTTATATTAAATGCTGTGGTTCTTCAGTAAAAATGTAAAAAAGCTCCCATATTTCCCTATTTTGAAATAATATAAATTTAAAATAATGGATAAAATATTGTACTTCATTAACACAGTTCCACAGAAATTCCAACACCTATAGATATACTCCAGATGGCGTGATGAAAGCTACCAAAACCAATTACAGCACTAGTGGGGTTAACCATTTCTTAGAATGCCCCCTGCTCTTGTTTTTCCTGAGCAAGTTTATTGCAGCCTTATCCAGACAAAGTGGGAATGAGGGTTGACATTGGGCTCACTTTTCCTGCAGAAGCCTGGTCAGCTTTAAACAACAATCTGCCAGTTGCTTGCAGCTACCTAGAATGTAACCCACAGCTTAAAAACTTTTTAAATACAGCAGTAATCATTTTGCTAGAAATACTTTAAAATCCAGGCAAGACTATCCAATTCCAAGAAAGCATTCATGTCTGCAAAAGGGATTATCTAAAATTGAGATAGGAAAAAAGAAAAAATAGGTTCTTGATCCAGAAGCTTCATGTTCAGCAATTTAATGTAGCTATATGGCTCTTTAATAGTGAAGATTCATATTCATGAATCCAGTTTCAGTTTAGATAAATAAATATTTTAATGCTGAAGTTAAATTGTTTTAAAAGATATGCTAATTTGGGATGATGCATTCATTGACTTACCAGTAGATCTGTGTGTTCTGTCTCCATCTTTGTATTTCTTTCTTTCTTTCTCTCACTTAGATCAGAATTGAAGTTTAGCAGTTAGACTTATGCCCATATACATTAGTTTCCTGAGGATAAATATAGCTCCCTGTGATTTCATTTAACAGGGAGAAGACTGTATTATGTGTCACCCTACTTGGCAGCTCAATTTTATTGAGGATGGAGATCAATCTGGGCATCAGTTACAAAAATAACACAATTGATGCAGTTAGGATGAGCCGGAAGCATATTTTTAGTTGACTCATCTCGAGTGAATAATTGGATACTGTTGATCCGTTCCATCTTGATCCACCTGAATCCATAATGAAATAGGCTCAGAAAAGTGAAGCTGGTGTCATGTATAAGACACTCATAGCAAAAAGGAGCACTGTCCCATTATGACATACCAAAGAAAAAGGACAAGATACACTAGATCAGTTTCTGATACAAAATACAAAAATTTGTATCTGAAAAAGTTACACAAATCAATACAGCAAAATCTTGGGAGTCAGCCACCTCCTAGCTTTCTCTGAAAATACCTCTATTAATTGAAATAGTCCAAATAGTAGTAGAAAAGATGAGAAAGGTAATAATAATACAGCCATACTACACTTAAGACAGTACTGTGGTAATTAGGTGTTTGGCAGAGTGATGGCAAAAGGGAAAAAACTATCTTGGAGTCCAGTTGTTTTGGCATGCAGTGCCTTATAGCGGTGTCTGAGGGGAGAAGTTGAAACAGTTTATGTCCAGGATATGAGGAGTCTGTAGATACGTTCTTAGTCCACTTTCTGACCCACGCAGGTCCTTGTTAGAAGGCAGGCTGATTGCAATGGTTTTTTTCTGAAATCCTAACTATTCATTGAAGTCTTTACCTGTCCTATTTGATTGCTATGCCAAACCAGACAGTTACAGAAGTACAAATGACAGACTCAATAATTCCTCTGGAAAACTCTATCAACAGCTCCTGGGGCAGTCTAAACTTTCTGAGCTGACGCAGGAAAAACATCTTTTGTTGTGTCTTTTTAATGATGGTTCTAATATTAGGTATTATTTCAAGTCCTGGGAGATTATAGAACCCAGAAACCTCAAGGTGTCTACACTTGATACTCTGTTGTCTAATACTGTAAGAGGTGGTAGAATAGGAGGGCTCCTCCTAAAATCCATTTTCATCTCTACAGTTTTAAGTGTGTTCAGCTCCAGATTGTTCCAGCTCTACCACAGGGCCAGTTGTTCAACCTCCCATCTGTATGTCACTTGGAAAGACCCCTTGTGTTGCTAAACTGGGAACCACATTTTGCTTTGAAGGTCACTGTCCCAAATACACTACTTAAGGATACATCCGGTAGTTGGGAAGCTTAATCCTTCAATCTTTGAAAGAATAAATCTTTCCTTAAGAGTTTCAGGGAGTAAAGCTTGCCAATTTTTTTTTAATAAAGTTGATTTGAAGGTCTCTCTAAGAATCAGAGAGAGCAGACCCATGGGAAAGAAATTAACATTAGCCAAAAGTTAAAAAGATAATGCTGAAGTCTAGTATTTACAGAGACCAAGCCCATATTTAAATGTAGAGCAGACATCTTAATTCATCATGAGTCTGCAAGGATAGCTCTAATAAGAGCAAATGGCTTCAAGAATGTCAAGATTGGTCTAAATACAGTACAGATATGGACACTGTAGAAAAGTAGAGAGCTGATCTTGGCTATAAAGATCTGGCAAGCTGCTAGGATCAAGTGGGCTCCTTTTTAAATGGAAAAATATCAGTATAGAATTGTTATAGAGATGCTATTCTAAATGCTGTTGTTTTGTTAAGTAAGTGATCTGCCAAGAGGCAGGTAATATAACATCATAGTTCCGTAAAAGCCAGTAAAAATGAAATGATACTGTATACAATAACATGTAAATTGGGGAGAAAATCATATTACTTAACTACAGGTAGTCCTCAACTTACAACAGTTCGTTTAGTGACTGTTCAAAGTTACAACGGTACTGAAAAAAGTGACGTATGACCATTTTTCACACTTATGATCATTGCAGCATCTCCTTGGTCACATGATCAAAATTCATATTTATGACAGTTGCAGTGTCCCAGATCATGTGATCAGCTTTTGTGGCCTTCTGACAAGCAAAGTCACTGGGGAAGCCAGATTTCACTCAACAGCAATGTTACTATTTTAACAACTATAATGATTCACTTAATAAGAAAAGTGGTAAAATGGGGCAAAACTCAATTAACAAATGTTTCACTTAGCAACATAAATTTTGGGCTCAATTGTGGTTGTAAATTGAGGACTACCTGTACAGTTAAGTGATCATTTGTCATACTATATTTGCATTGAGCCAGTTGATGGTGAACCATCTCAAGAACCATAATTGGGTGGTATTAAATTCATTAATGAATTGCAATTCATTAAATTGCAATAATATATCAGTGAACCTGTTCTAACAATAATTAAACTTATTTGTTAATGCCACTGCTAGATGTACATATATAGAAAAAGAACAGACAAACTTCTGTTTAAGGTAGAACTTCACTGTAGCAAACAACTATTCTATATTGCATTCAGCACTTTGATCCAATTCACTTTATGTGCGTTTGATTTTGAATCTTACCAATCCACATCTCTTTCACATTGAACCTGTACAACCAGGACAGGTTAATGCTTTTTAAATTATTGCCCTTAATACTTTGATCATTCTGGAGATCATGAAAAATTCTAGTAACAATGTAAAAGTTACAAAACCTATACAGAGGTTTTTTTTTTAAATTCTGCTATAAAATTATGTTTTCAAGAGTTTTTTTCCAAGTGTGCCCTATCTCAACTCTTTTGCTGTTTTTATCTTTATATAATTCCTTCTGTCAGTGGGGCATTATCTTTCACTCCTGATTTTTCTCTTCTATCTATAGTTATCTTAACGATTTGGACCGCATAGCAGCCTCTGGATATCTACCCACTCAACAAGATGTTCTTAGAGTTCGGGTTCCAACTACAGGAATCATTGAATACCCATTTGACTTACAAAGTGTTATTTTCAGGTAGATAAAAGGTTTTTTTTTAATCTTTAAAATGCTACTTTAGAGGAGTTTGTTTAGGGGGGAGAGGAGTTTCCTACCAAGAGCATAAAAATATATTTAAATAATTGTACCAATAGAAAATGCTATTTTGGAAATGCATTCTTTTCTCCTACTCCCTTTCTTCTTTTTGCTTAATAGTAACAATTCAGGAAAAACAATTCAACCCCTGAGATGTTCATTGTTTAGATTAGTGTTTCTCAACCTTGACAATTTTAAGACATGTGGACTTCAACTCCCAGAATTCCACAGCCAGCAATGCTGGCTGTGGAATTCTGGGAGTTGAAGTCCACATGCCTTAAAATTGTCAAGGTTGAGAAACACTGGTTTAGATCAATATTTTACACTGATCAAAAGTGGAGAATGCAAAACAAAGTATTGTGTTAAGTCATAAACAGGAGCAAATATATATATAAAGATAATTGTACCAATAAAAATGTTTTTTGGAAATGTCTTATTTTCTCCCACTCCCTTTTTTTGTGTGGTAAAGTATGAATATAATTTATAAATTGCAGACAAATGGTATTTTATATATTTATAGATCAAGTCCACCAATTCTAATAAAAATCCTAGCTATTAATTCTGCTTCATCTTATGTAAGAACATAAACTGGAAAAATAATATAAATGTCCTTATAAGAATTTCCCTATTTTATTATTCTGTCATTATACATAGAAGATTATTGCTATTACAGTTAACTCTGGAAAATATTGGACTCTTGCCCTTATTGAGCATAAAACCTTCCTGTTCGAATTTTAATAATTACACTCATTTTTAAAGGTGTTGTGTTTAACTTGTATAATGGTAGCGACTATATAAACTTGTTACTTTGTAGATTTGTTGAAATTCATTGGTAGATTTGTTGAAATACAAAGTTTGACAAATGGTTCTTGTTCCATACAAATGTATACAGTATTCTAAAGAACCTTTTTTGAAGTTTTTTTTTCTATTTTGAGTTTCATTAACTGTAGTCATGAAGCAAAATAAAAAGAGGGTCATTTTTGTTAGTAAAGATGTTGATTGGCTTTATTAGTCTGTATGACCCTTACATTTGGAAAAAAATTGGAAGAGCAAAGCACCTGTCAGGGAATCACATAAGGAAAACAAGAATTTCTACCTCCCTAGAGCCATAAGTGCAAAGTCTCTGAAGATAAAGAATATTGTGAAATCAACAGTCCAGAAGAAAGAACATTAAATGGGTTTAAGAAAACTATATTTACTCCAAGTTACAATGTATAAATGCCTCACAATGGTAGGCTTGTAGCATTTGCAGAATGCTGAAGTGTAGATGTATTCACCCTATTATCATGATTTTTCAGACATAGCATATAAATAATATAATAATGAAAACATGTCCTAACATTCTAGTATTTGTACATTGCTTTGATTTCTATGATTTTTGCTCCTATTTCAGAATGGTGGATGTGGGGGGACAGCGATCGGAACGAAGAAAATGGATACACTGTTTTGAAAATGTCACCTCCATTATGTTTCTAGTAGCTCTTAGCGAATATGATCAAGTACTTGTGGAGTCAGACAATGAGGTAGGCCATTATCAAATGCCTTCCAGAAGTATGTTTCTAATTAAGGCAATAATTGCTTCCCCAAAAAACTCTCATATAATTTTGTGATAGTATTCTATGACTGACCTAGTGCCAGGATTTTTTTTTCTATGATTTCATCCTGGTTTTGAAATACTGGGCTCGGAGATGTTGGTCCATATGGTTCTGCTTTAATCTTTTGGACGTTAACTAATATTTCTTATTCTCTAAAACTGGAAATTCTGCTTCTCCAAAATTATGTTTTTATTTATAACTCCTTTAGTAAGCATAGAGGATAGATATAACAATGCTAATTATGTTTTTATCTCTGAAGTAACTAATCAATTATAAACAAAATTATGTTTCAACTAGTTAAGCTCTAAGCAGAATAACTCCCAAATTAATAGATATCTATTATATGATCTATACTTTGGGCCCCTTAAAGGCCTGTTCATTCTTAGGCCTAGTGGAACTCTGAGCTCTCTTCTCCATTTCTATGTTCCTCATGAGTACTGTATTCTCAGTTGCTCATTATCTCTCTCTCTCCTCTTCTCCTGCCTTGAGTAGCAAAAGAAGGGATGAGGAAAGGGGGGGGGAAATGGCTCCTTCCCCTTCAGTTCTCTGATTACACAAAATGATCACTCTCTGAACTGATAACAGAAGACCTCATTCCTCTTCTCTCACTTCTCCAGCAACTCCAGAGAATAGCAGGGGTGGGGCAATGGCTCTACAAATAGTAAGTGGCAGTAACTGGCAGTGAAGGTGGTGCTTCCCACCCCACCCTACCCTCTTGTCCCCTCCCACTTTAAATGGATTGAGGGCTGTGGTATGTGAGTACTTTTCTAAATTAGCATAGTACTTTTCTGCCAACTCCTACATGGGATAATGGCACTTTAATGCTGCTGTATGGAAGAACCTACAGTCCACAGACTATTTTGCCATGTGACCTGCTCTTTGCTTTGGCAAGTGCTAATTGAAAAGTTCAAAGGTCTCATACTCTTCTCTTCACAGCTTGGGGAAATATGCCTGTACTAATCCTTCAAGCCTGAATAATTATGTAGACTTTACTGTTAATACTATTAAAAGTAAACGGAAACATGCATAAAATTCCAAGTTGGAAATTTGTTAACTGTCCTTGCTAGGCAGATTAGAGATGGCTTATGTGTTAAAATTCAATAATTTGGAAGAAGACTAGCTTCTATTTACGAAAATGTTTTTTAGAACCTGGGAATGAAAGCATTCAGACACCTAATTCAGGCATAATATTAAGACAGTGAAAATTCTGGATTTAGTTTGTAAGAGACGGTAGGTACTAAATAGGCTGTAATCTGAATGTACACTTATCATTAAAGTAGAATTTTGTTCTCTAGGATTGCATAGTTTCTGCAGGGAAGCTGCAAGATGTACAAATAATAGCAGTTGCTTTAAAAAGTTCCTGTGTTGATACTCTTGCCTATTCTAAAGCACTTCTTCTGCATCACATGTGGAGCACTTCAGAACCCTAGTATTTACATTTCTCATCAGTTTCTTTCTCCACTCCGAAATTTTTCTGTTGACACAATTTATCCCAAAATGTCATTTAAAATGCAAATCTATTGGAATGAGATATTTATAGAAATAAAATTGAGAACCACTTTGGTCTATGCATAGCTGGCTGAGGAATTCTGGGAGCTGAAGTCCACAAGTTTTAAAGTTGTCAAGGTTGCAGACCCCTGGTCTAGTGGTTAAGGCACCAGGATAGAAACCAGGAGACTCTGAATTCTAGTCCTGCCTTGGGCATGAAAGCTGGCTAGGTGACTTTGGGCCATTCTCTTTTAGACTGGAGTGACAAGTTGATCATTAATTCCTGTCACAATTAATGGATCAATTAATGGATCACTCAGTTGATCTGGAAAAAAGCAGACCCTACACTTGCAGGAAAAAAATAGGAAGGGGAAAAAATGAAAATACAACACTGGAACAGTAAAAAGTGCAAGGGTACTATTTAGTAAAGGAATTTCTTGCTGTATGTTATGAATTAAAACATCAATCTTTGTGCGGTCCTCTTTTGTCTAAATAGAACAATTGTTTTATGCTTGAGTAGAACACAATCCGTTGGGGGCACTTTATAGTGTCAGAATTTACTGTTAATAACTTTAACAGAATATCTCAACATATTCTGAAAGAGAACTCAATATCTCACTTATCCCTTAGCGTCATTAAGATGAGCTTATGACATAGCATAATCCTACTTTGCATTTTTGTGTGTTAAGTCTCGTAATTGATACATGATTAAACAAAGCTCTATCGTACTACTTTGTTCTTTTGGTTACGTTTTAAGAAGATGAACAACTAGCAATAGTTTTCCTTATTGCTTTCTGATTTCTGTAGCATTTTTAACCTGTGAATAATCTCTTTTTTCATGACACAGGAAGCATATTTGATTGACATTACTTAGAACTGCTTATTCTAGATTGATTGGGTCTTCATAGGAAGCTTTTAAAATTCTTTTATATTGGGAATGGTGAACGTGCCTCTTTAGATGTGGGAGAACATAGACATTGGAGGAAGGATTCTAAGAGCTATACTTGAGAAGTAATAGTTATATTGACATCTAAATGCCCTTCTTCCCACTCTAGCTTTTTTTAACCTGCCACAATCAAATGGAAATCTTCTATTTCCTGGGAACAGCTCAGTGTTCAGTGATAGACAACATACTTTGCCCGCATAAAGTCCTAATTGGATAAGCTATTAGGATAATGGTGACAGTAAAAATATGTACTTCCAATAGAAGGGAATGTATGTAGCTCCTGGTTGAATTGTGTAGTTCTTGGTACTTTCTGAGCATGGTTATTGCTTGTAGGTTTTTCATTATCCAACTAGCTAATATCATCGGTCCAAGTGAATGTGAGATTTGCTGCCCATATTTTTTGTATATAATAGTTTGCCCTGTTAGTTTTCATACCCCAAAAATATGTGCACCATTGCTTGGAAATAACTGATCACAAATTAGGTAATGTCAGTTTTCTGTATCTGTGTCTCTCTGTTTTATATTTAGTAAGGCTGATGGAATAATTTATTGCCAATAAACTGTAAACCCTCAAACTCTTTAATAAAGTACATTAGGAAATGTGTGACTTTTTGAGGATTCTCTTATCTATTTTACTTTCTAACTCAGAAATGTGTTATATTTCAGTCATTAAGTGAATATACAGTATACAAATTCCTATTCTCATTAAGTGAATATATACTCCCAATTTTTTTCTTTAAGATAAGATAAGATAAGATAACCTTTATTGTCATTTTTTTACTGTGGGCACAACGGCACACATCAAAAATGAAATTTAGTTGCCCGCTCTCAAAATGAAACACATACATGACACACCTAAACATACTATGAACAACATATGTATAGACCCACACCCCTACATATACGTAGTAAATAAATATTAAATACTGTCCATCTTGAATATATAATGGAAGGAGGAAGTTTTAAAGAAACATTTACTCTCCATATGGGAATGGGATGCATTCCTGTAGTTTTGGGGAAGATATTTTCTTTATAGCTTTATCCAAAATAGAAAAATATATTTAAAAGTATTTTGTATTGGATGACTTTAAATGACCATTTCAAGAAATATTCTAATCTGCAAAAGAAAGATGAGTGAGATTTTATGTGTAACATGCTTAATTTTAATGTGCACATCAGAATGAAAAAAAATTGGCAAATATCAGACATAGACCATCATACAAATTATAAATTAAAACAAATATTTGGGGAGATGTTTCCATTTTAAAAAAATTTCCAAAACAACAAATTTAAAGCAAAGCTGAAAATAAGCATATGAAATACTGATATATCAATTCATAACACGTTTTTATTGGCAAATCTCTCCAAACCAATTTTATTTTATTTTACGTGAATTTTTAGCATTCCACAGATGCAGTTATACCATAAGTCCTTCTGCCTCATCATTAAATTGCAAGTCAGCTTAGATGTATTTTATTTATATACTGTGTGAACACTAGAGGGTTCTATAAGCCTTTGGGTAGAATGGCTAATTGTAAATTATTTTTGTTTTCCTCCATTTCTTTTCTTTTTATCTATTTTAATCTCTTCCTTTATAATTTAACCCAGAATTGCCTATAAAATGCTGCCATTAAGGCAGAACCGTTATTTGGTTCTGGAGGCAAATGTAGATGCATGGTATGACAAAGACTTAATATAAAAGATTATGCCTTTTTTCATATGAAAATCAATAGAATGTTAGCATACTGTAGCATGAGACTTTCACCAGAGATGACTAAGTCTCCATGATTCAGTTCTGCTCATCCCATAAGATGCAAAGGATCCTAACTAGAGGAAGCAGTTAATTTGTATCCCTGGCACTCAGTCTGGGTAACATCACAGAATCTACATCAGTGATGGTTGTGAGAGATCACAATCAAGACAGTGCAACCCCCATGGCCTTCCTTAACCTTTTGATGTTTTTTGATTCCATTGGCCATGTCACCCTTTTGGTTTGTCTTCAAGGGATTGAAGAGAGAGTGCTGTCTTGCAGTGGTTTTCCTTCATCTTGAACTTGTAGAGATTTCCTTTGGTTTAGTATTATGAATATGTGCATGATACGCAGTTATACATCTTGTCCCTAGACAAGATAAAAGATAAACTGATGATGTGGTACAAGTGCTGACCCAGTGCCTAGAATAGGTCAAGATTTGGATGGATAGGAAGAATCTTCAGCTGAATTTCTCCAAGACAAAGTGAGTTTGAGTTTATTCCAGGGAAGTTTAGTCTCTGATGCTAAGTAAGTACAGAATCTGCAATTTAGGAATTCTACTAAATTCAAGTTCCTGCTCAAGGAATAGCTGGCATTTGTGGATAGGAGGCTTTTTATACAGCTACATCTTTTGCAGCAATTTCCTGGATCAGAATGCCCACAGTAATTCATGCCATAGTCACATCCGTTTTGATTCCTATAATGTCCTCTACATGGGACTTTCCTTGACAAAAATCTGGAAGC